TTGATATGCAAGGTGTTTAATTTCGTTTTATTTATTTATTTATTCATTTTTTATTATTTTTTTCTAGATATAATAAAAAGACCATCCGCTAGTACTTTAACATGCTTGTTCGATATACTTACTCAGAAACTAAAAGCAATCAATATTGGAGACAAGCATCAGGAAATGCATAAAGGAACATTTAAATCATTTATTGAATATTATCTTCGTTAATTGATATGAAAAACATTATTACAGATTGTTTCTAAATTTTTTATCAGATCTTTTAAATCAGATATGAAAAACAATTCAAATATACATAAAATTCAAATAAAAATCCCAGGAAGTTAATATTTCTAAAATAAATGTCAGAAATTAGGTAAATCCTTTTGTGATCACATATATAAAAACAATTAACAAAAAAAAATATCTTATTGAGCACTTTGGATTCACAATTCAACAAAATGTTTAGAAGCTGTACTGGAATTACACTTGCTGAACGTGAATCAGTTTACGACATTGATTTATTAATCGGAAATAGTATTACCAGGGTAACAATTCAAGGGTGAATTTGTAAAACATTTATTAATATTAATTAACCATTTAATTTATCATTTAATTATTATTTTAATTAATTAATTAATTAATTGTTATTTCTTATATTTATTTGATATCAGAATAGTTATAATTCTGATTATCTAAATCAAGAAAAGTTTTTAAAAGGTCTGTTGAAGTTGATGCAATATATAGATCACACATCACATTTACTAGCATGATCCAAAAAAGTAATAAATATTGATAAAGCAGAGGAGGTTATAACCTTTACCCAAAGGACATCTATTAATGGTCAAAAGAATTATTTAGATCATGTTTTTAATACAAACGTATCATACTGTAACAAGTTTATTGAGATTAAAATACAACATATACAAGAGCCATGGTTTTATAAAATTCTTTACACATGTTTAATATTCATCAAATATAACAATAATGAAATTAAATTCAAAATCATACTTTCGAACAAATATCCAATAAATAAGTTGAGCATATATAAAAATAAATATAATAAATAAAACTTTTTTTTTCATTTTTTCTTTATTAAAACTCAACATAAAGTGCTAAATTAAAGATGTATGGTGCGTGTCACCTAAAGTCATCAAGAATTTATGGGTGACTTTAAAATGTATCTAGTCCCTCAATTTTTATGC